GACATTATCAGCAGAGGTGGAAGAACAATGTAAAATTCTGAGAGCAGAGAAAAACATTGACTCAAAGTAGTAATGTCCATAACAGTGGATAGTGATAATATAAATCTTGCTTTAGAAGGACAAATTCTTGATGGAATAAAGCACTTCGTACAAGTAAATATATTTACTTAAGAAACTAATTCAAGGCAGAAGTAATATCTAAGCAAGGGAATTGGCAGCTCAACCAAGCAACTGAAAATGTTAAGAATTTCATAGCAAGATATGGTGCACAACTCAGAAATTGGAATAGAACATGCCAAGTAAGTATCATAGGTGTAAAGAGGGAAGAGGATGTTTTGATTGGCAGGACATAGTGGAGGAGGGCAATGTACCAAAACAGGCCATTGTATTGAAATCCAGAGGGTGACGACCAAGGGTAAGAGCTAAAGCTATATGGCAGAATGCTATAAAAGTGGACTTTGAAGGTCAGGATTTCGACTGAAACTTGCAGGCGTTGACATAAGGAATTGATGAAGTGTGGTGGCATCAATGACATGGAGTGTCATAACCTCTTCATCTTGATTCAAGTTTTGTTCAGCTTGCGGAATTATGAAAACGTGTACCAATAGAAATGTATGTGGGGAGAATACCACCGAGAGGTGAGAGATGTAAAAGAAATGCAAGCCACTTACAAGGTCTCTGAGCCCAGAGATCCTTTGGACAGAATGTTGTGCTCTCCACATGCCTCTTACTGACATGCCTACACCCAACCTGTGGGCAGCATGACCATGGACAGTGCGAGAGCAATCATACTGACCTCCGCAGTTTTTTTTTGCATCTGCCATGTGCTGGGGACTGTGCACACATTGGGACAATCTGCAGAGATTTCCTCCGTCATTTTTGCATTACCTTGGCAAGGACCACTGCACACATCGGTTGGCGTTTGCAACCCTTCATGCACAGATATGTGGACTGGACGGTAACACAATCCTTCTGGATAATTGTGTGGGTTGCTCTGGACATCTTTAGTTTTTTGGGACTTTTTAATCTCACCGCTCGTGTAAGGAAACCTTGGTGGTGCTCTTCAGAACAACCTTTGCCCCCTGTTGAGTTGCCATCTTCAAAAATTGTTCTAAAAAAAGGAAAAACATTTTTAAATCAAAGTTACATTAAGCCAAAGAAAAACAACAGAAAGCACAAGTCCCCGAGAAACATATTTTACCACCAATCAGGTTTCAATCCAACAATCACAAAAAATTATATCACAGATGATGAACGTGGTTTTCAGACACCTAGGGAACAGTGTTTTATGAATGACATTAACTGCCTTTGGGTGAGATATATAATATTCTGGTAATAAGAATACGTACATGTCTTGGCACAATGTCAATGCCTTACGTTTGCTTGCACATGTTACACGCGTTTATTAATTTACAGCCCTTTATCACCCTACGAAACACTACCCTCTAAGGTCCCTCTAGAATTGGGCTGCACCATTCAGCTGCCAACCCCCTGCTGAATGAAGGCCTCCGCATTCTGTATCGGTCATCGCAATATGAATGCATTCATTCAACTTTACTAAACAACGCGTCCAAACCAACATGCTCGTGACAATGGATTCCTTTGTAATACAACAAATGGAGAGCCGGACATATGCTACTGTACAGGTACAGTAATTACCAAAAGCGCCTCAATAATCCCATCGCAAAGGCTCTCAAATACAACCCTTGCCGGCCTATTCCTACGGGCAAGACACCCACCACCGAATTACTTGTCACCCATAACGACGCGTTTACGTAAAGATTATGCTTCTTAGTTTGGGTTGTGTTATTTTAACCGGGCCCACGTGGGTCCAGGGACTCGTTCACTTCCCCGCTTTAGCGCTCCGCTGTGGCGAAAAAAAGCCCCGCATTGTCACCGTCTTCTCGTACGATAAAAGCTCACACAACAACAACAACAAATAATTAACTTCTAATTTACCAACTTTGGTTAGCGCCGCTAACGAAATAAAGTAGATTAACATGTTGAAACAAAATCCTATTCGACTAGGGCTGCGAATTCAGCCGCTGCCGGGCCTCAAGAGCGGCCGGTGACAAGCGGCGGATGAACGAACAAAAAAAGTCAAGGACCTTGCGAGCTCACGGTGCAACACCGCCACCTCTTCGTGTCGATGCTGTAAAAAAAAACTAAACGGGGTGGCGAGGAGAGACTAATCGGAGGCACTCACCAGCTTCGTTGGCTCTGCTGCTGCTGCTGGGGAGAGTGAACACGGGCGGCCGCTCGCCTGCGTCTCTCGATTCACGAGCCAAACGCAAGGAAAATGGCGGCGGCGGCGGTTTTTTTTATTTCCCAGCGCGGATAGGCGGCCGGGCCTTTCTCGCCTGCCGCGCGCTCTGCGCATGCGCGCTGCCGCGTCTGCGCCTATCCGCTGTGTGAAATGCAAAGGCTACGTGGGGGTGAGGGGGGTGCGGCTGTGTTTCTTTTTGTTATTCTTGGTTCTTTCGGTAAAGTCACGGAGATAGAAAATTAAAATTAAATACAATTTTAAAATAAAATGAAGGGGGAAAAACCCCCCCACGACGTTTCGATCGCAACATAAGCGGTCTTCATCTTATCTCCGCCTGATGAAGACCGCTTGTGTTGCGATCGAAACGTCGTGGTGGGGGGGGTTGCCTTTTTTAATTTAATAAAACATTTATTTTCTATCTACGTGACTTTACCGAAAGAACGAAGAACACGAATTCCTGCAGTCACGAAAGTTTTAAGTAAAAAAAAATCTGTTTTGTGTTGTTTGTTTCACGTGTGGGGGTTTGAATGATCGAAGCGATGTCCGGATCCTGGATCGATTTCAATATTCAAAACGAAAACTATTTAAACAAATTTTTGTTTATATTTTTTTTTATCAGATAAGGCACACTGAGCTGTTGTGTAGCTTTTTTTTCACACGCGACCAGGCTATCACAAATGATAGCTGAACGAAATGACTTATTGCGTGGAAATTTACTATGGACAAATACTCTAAATACGTATTCTTGGTTCTTTAGGTAAAGTCACGTAGAAGGGAAATAATAAAAGAATAAAATTCTCACGACGTTTCGATTGCAACACAAGCAATCATCATCAGGTGCGAACACCTGATGATGATTTTTCACACGTGATGATGATTGCTTGTGTTGCAATCAATACGTCGTGAGGATTGTATTGTTTTATTTTTTTATTATTTCCCTTCTACGTGACTTTACCGAAAGAACCAAGAATATGAATCCCTCCAGTAACGAAACCTTTAAATCGAAATTTAACTCTAAATACATGTTTAATCAATGTTGAGGGAAAACAAAACTCCACACATAACAGACGTGGCACGTGTGGGATTGAACCCACGACCTCCTGTAAAAGGGGGCTTATTCAAAATGTTTTCACGCTGATTATAGGACTATCGTTTTTAATGGCAAAAAAACCGGATAATATACACTTTAACGTGATAACAAATGCATGTTAATAGCTTCAAAGGGTCAAAGAGCCTCCACTTGTTCGCCATCATTGTCAACGGAGGGACATTTCTCGTGCTATTGTTGCAAATTCTCAGAAGTGTTAAACATTTGTTTTTGAATCACCCTGTACAGAAGTTAAGATCTCGCCGCCGTGGCGTCTACACCTCAAGATCCTCCTCCACGTACTCTGCCCCCTTGCCAGCTCACATGGTTTCAAACCACAAGCATATTGCAATACTGTGTGGCTCCAGGGGTTAGGTGCCCAATTCTAGATTTGAAGCTTTCGTGACTGCAAGGATCCATACTCTTTGGTTCTATTCGGTAAAGTCACCTGATGAAGGCCACTTGTGTTGTGGCCGAAACGTCGTGATTTTTGTTATTTTTTGCCTACGTGACTTTACGAATACAACCAAAGAGTATAGGTGCCCAATGTTGAGAGGTCTGCTGACATCGACGAGAGGATTTACTCTCCCAACAATTGTAAACCTTGTGGGTTTAACTCTCCAAACACACCGGTGTGCTGAAATAGTAACGAATTGGCAAGTTCTGTTTACGTGACAAAGCCTTATTAATTGGCTGTGTCGGGTGGTGGCGGGTTTAACGACATACATGTACGCGATGAACTGCAAATTGCATAACATTAAGCAATCTTTAATTTTGCGTTGGGAAGTACATCGAAGCACAAAGAAAAGACTACAAACCGCGAAGTACATTTACAAAGTCGTGAAACAACAATTACAAAGTCGCCGTCATCATACCTGTCAACCCATACGGTTTTCTCAGTATTGTTGCAGAGAGAAATTGAGTTGTCGGGTCGATACGGCGTACAGCCGTTTCAATACGGGGGAAAAAAACAATCATACGGACAAATAAACAAAAAGTGTATTGTTTAATCCTTCATAATTTCCTGTGTTTATTGTTGTACATTTACAACATGAGTGTGTGTAATCCATATATCAAGCAGTATCAGCATGCAAGGACACATGCAGGTATAGCTTGATAAGCAGCATCATTGACACCAATTATCAACATGGATACATAAAAATAGCTTTTGTTTAGTGATATATTTTTTGACTTAAAGCTTTCGTAACTGCAGGAATTAATATTCTTTGGGTCTTTCGGTAAAGTCACGTCGATGGTTCGAAGAAAATAACTAAAAACTACGACGTTTCGATCACCAACACAAGCGATCGTCATCAGGAGGATGATTATCGAAACGTCGTAGTTTTTTGTTATTATCTTTGAACCATCTACCTGACTTTACCGAAAGACCCAAAGAAATAGATACTTTTTTGTGTATTTGTTTGTGTTACTCCCTCGTGGTGGGACTTTGTAGGATGAACGTTGAGATTTATAAGGGGCACGGTGTGGCCAATACGGTCTGAATTGGTCTGTAATAAGCTCGCCACTGATAAGGGGTTGACAGGTGTGCGTTATATCGCGCGCGTCAATATCGTATCTTGTCGTGGAACGTGATATCGCGATTAAAAAAAAAATTCGCCCGGATTTCGCGTTTCAAAAATCTCCTGTGCGGCTCCGCCACCGCGGGCTTGCCGTAGCAGCGCGCATCTTCGGCGCGCGGATTGTTTTGAGTTCGCAGTGCAACTCGAAGGGATTGCTTCTGTAACAACCTTTTCCCGCACGAGATGGCTTTGTCGTTGACTAGAGAGCCGCGGAAAAATGCCGGCAACAAGATGTCCAAACTGCTGGACGCGGAGGAGGACGACGATTTCTACAAAACAACCTACGGCGGATTCAATGACGTACGGACGCGTCCGCTGTGCTGACTGCGGCCTCGGTCTGGCCTAGATATCGCTGCCGCTCGGCGCTTCGCGGAGCCTGCGTACCGGCCGAGCGACGTCGCGGGCTTTGCGGCCTCTTGTGAACACATTTTTGCAGCAGAGTTTTATTGTGCATTTACATCAAATTATTGTTGCGCGTTGCAGTAGAGGCGCACTGAGCAGTTGCATAAGAGGGCATTCTTGATTTGAAGCTTTCGTGACTGTAGGAATCCATACTTTTTGGTTCTTTCGGTAAAATCACGTTAGCAGTCTTCCTGCTGTGTTTGTTTTACACCTGATGACGGTTGCTTGTGTTGCGATCGAAACGTCGTGATCTATTATTTTTTCTACCTACGTCACTTCACCGAAAGAAACCAAAGAGTAAGAGGGCATTGTTATAAAGTTGTGTTCCACGTACAGCCGTTCCTTTATCCCTCGTATATCCTCTCGTACGCGCACGTGTGCTAAGAGCCAGAAATGTAACATTAAGTTAAGAGCTCTCGTTATTTGAGTTCAGCTCGCGTTGAGTGATCGCTACAACAACACAAACATTGCGATGTTCAGGGCGCATCATAAACTTTGCACTGGAGCAAGGTCAGTGGCTCAAAATGGCACTGAACCGGCACCGCTAAGCTGGGTTTGAATCCGGGTTTCCGTCGCCCGTGGTTGAACAATGTTCATAAAAGTTTAACAAGTTGATAACCTCAGCCGATCATCGATGATTGTATAAAAATGTGGTTAATCCATTACCGAACCACTTATTAAGGCCCGATTTTGGGAGAGCTTTGATTACATCGTCTCTCAAACTACTGCAATGATGCATTCGTAAATGTCTGAAAAAAAATAATCGGGCTTACGATCGCAAACCAGTAAAACGTCACCCTCTGTTGTATACAGTATTTAGTTATGGGTGGACAAACTCAATATTACTTTTAGGATTATGTAATTTAGCAGGAATTTGTGACTCTTAGAAAGCTACATGACCACGATGTAAATGTACAAATACATAGTCGTGGAGCTATGTCTTAAGCCTGGACAAGAACAGGCGACTGAGGGCATATTAAATTCTCCTAACAGTACAATACAATCGAGAACGCGTATGCTTTGCCTTGCAGGAATCCGGTGATGATGAGTTCAAGTCGGACGTGTCGGCCAGTGAGGATGAGGTGGATTCAGATTTTGATATTGATGAGGGTGATGAACCGGCTAGTGACCATGAAGAGGATGATGCCCCAAAGAAAAAGAGACGTGTTGTTACAAAGGCATACAAGGTGGGGTAAAATAGTCCTCATTTTCAATCAAACTATTCTGCTGTATACTGAATTGTATAGTTTAATAATATATTGGCGCTACTCAATCCTTTATGGACAAAAATTTATATTTTAATACTGCACAAAATATGATTCAAGTACTATTTTTCACAAATCTAATGTGCAATATTTTCTGAATTTATTCTGTGCAGGAGCCCGTAAAAGTAAACAAGCCAACCAGTAAATCAAAAACAAGGAAGTCAAGCGATGATGTGGAATGGATGCCAGCTTCTCCTGAAGACAAAAGAGACTTATCAGAATTGCATAGCGATTTCAGTGGAAGCACAGGTTGGTTTCATCGGATGGGATGTGTGTGCACTTATCATTAGTCATTTCTCGTTGTTAGGATTTGAATCGTATGGCGGGACCCCGGGGTCCCGAATAAACGGAAGTCAAAATCATAATTTATTTTAACAAAAATTCGCGACTCCGTCCCACCGCGCACATAAACGCCGCAACCCACCTGGCGCGGATCATTATGTTGTCATGTCGTCGAAGCATAGCGAGGACGAATGCGCAGAAACAAAACTTTGATTAGCACATCGTGTAGAGCTCGTTGAGAGGTTAATTTGACTACTTGACTACTTGATTTTATTTCCGGGAGACTTGAATATTTCAGTGCATTTGATCAAAATCTGAAAGAGTATTTGAGGTGTTTATTGGTATACCATGCTGACATTGGTCAGTTATCCAAATAAGCAGTCTATTTTTGATCACCATATACTACGTTTTGGGGTATAAGAGCTGCTATTTGATTTCAGTGTTTAGTGTCCTGAATAAGTGTGTCATCTTACACAAACCTTATTTCTCTTTAATCACCTTCATAGTGACCACAGGTTCGTCATATATAGCAACTGCAATTTGCTATTTTGATTCAAAGTTGCAGTTGTCTTTGCTCTCCGTAGGATATGTATGCTATTCTATTGTTACGTTATAAACTGCCAATGCAAGACTTAAATTTTGATTTAAAGCTTTCGTGACTGCAGTAATTCATATTCTTAGCTCTTTCGGTAAAGTCACGTTGAAGGGAAACAATAAAATAATAAAATATATATAAAACAATACAAATTCTCACGACGTTTCGACCATAACACAAACGGTCGTCATCAGGTGTGTCGGTTTGCATAAATTTATTTATTTATAAACGGTGTATTTATTTATTTATAACAAAAACGTCAGCGCCATGCGCAGCGATTTTGGCAGTTTATTTAGAAGGACGAGTCCATCTATGTTCTGAAAAGAGGAGGGGGGAGACGAAAAATTAATGTATGCTGTCTGAAAGCCACTGTAAGCATGAACAATCAATTAAGACCTGAAATGGTTTATCAAATCTTTCCAATGATTGCTAAGCCAGAATCCATCTTCTCGGTTGAAATTGTCTCTGTGCTTGTATATGTGGATAGCTTCATGAACTAATCTCTCATGGTAGCCAGATGGCTTACAAAGAACCTCTGTCTTGGAAAAGTCAATGTCACGTGAGCCTACTGAATTATAACAATGATCTGCCACGGCCGAGGTGTTGGTCCGTTTCAACACATTACATAAAATCCGTGATCTGGTTCCGTCTGTAAAAGATGTGATTCCGGACATACAGTACTCTGGTGTCTACAAACTAATTTGCCTCTGTGGTAGTAGTTACATTGGAGAAACCAAACGCCATGTCTCGGACCGCATTCGTGAACACAAAGCAGACCTTAAACACGGTAGGACCAACACCTCGGCCGTGGCAGATCATTTTTATAATTCAGTAGGCTCACATGACATTGACTTTTCCAAGACAGAGGTTCTTTGTAAGCCATCTGGCTACCATGAGAGATTTGTTCATGAGGCTATCCACATATACAAGCACAGAGACAATTTCAACCGAGAAGATGGATTCTGGCTTAGCAATCATTGGAAAGATTTGATAAACCATTTCAGGTCTTAATTGATTGTTCACACTTACAGTGGCTTTCAGACAGCATACATTAATTTTTCGTCTCCCCCCTCCTCTTTTCAGAACATAGATGGACTAGTCCTTCTAAATAAACTGCCAAATCGCTGCGCATGGCGCTGACGTTTTTTTTATAAATAAATAAATACACCGTTAAAAAATAAATAAACTTATGCAAACCGACACACCTGATGACGACCGTTTGTGTTATGGTCGAAACGTCGTGAGAATTTTTATTGTTTTATATATATTTTATTATTTTATTGTTTCCCTTCAACGTGACTTTACCGAAAGAGCTAAGAATAGAAAAATGCAAGACTTGTCAACCAGGGGTCCATGGACCTCAAGAAGGCTATAAAAGTTCCACAAAGTTCATAAGAGTGGTAGGTTCCAATCAGGACACTGCAATCAGATCTGCATGCGAGCATCCTTTACCTCCAGACACAATTATATAACTGCTTACTGAAGTATGGGTCTGTGTCATAGGAGCCAATCACAATGAGCACACCTCAGCTGTTCGTGTCTTTGCACGCACACAGCGCGGAAGGCGATGAGGCACTCGACAGCTGAGTGCACAAGACAGACGTACTTGCGAGTGAAGGAACGAGAGGAGCTGCCCAAGCGCCAACGGAAGAGGCAATATGAAGAGAGTGGCCGAGTGAGCCAGCAACAGCTGCTGGCCGAGGCCAAGATCACCGAGGAGCTCAACCTGCGCTCCCTGGGTACGACGCGGTGGCTCTTTGTGCTCTGCCTGCTTCCACCTGGTTCCACTTCCAGATGTTTGAGTGAAGCTGTGTGTCCAGCAGTAGTTGCTTGAGGCTCCAGTTTGAGGAGACAACAAAGTGTGCTAGTCTCATTTTAACGCATGCAGGTGGATTCATTGAACAACTGCAATTTTAATCCATAATCGAGGTTTTTTGGGTTAGATCGCGTCAATATACAAGTGTGTCGTTAAAACCCGCCACCACCTGACACAGCCAACTAGTAAGGGTTGTCACGTAAACAGGTGTGTTGGAGAGCCAAGCCACAACAATTACGATCTGAGTACCTGTACCTATACTAAGATTGTAAATGTTGTGGCTTGGCTCTCCAACACATCGGTGTGCTGTACTAGTTACGAATTGGCAAGTTCTGTTTACATGACATCCCTTACTAGTTGGCTGTGTCGGGTGGTGGCGGGTTTGAACGACACATATATTTACGCGACCTAACCCAAAAAAACCTCTTATGGATGATATTGGCTGCAAAAGCCTACGTGTTAAACTGAAATTGTAATTGCAGTCGATTCCCCACCTGATTGGTGCATACAATCTGCAAACACCCAGCAATTGTCTATTGCTGGGCAGTTACGCAAATTAGGCAACTTAGAGTCAAAATGCAATGTTCATCACACCTAAGCTACCATACCATTTTGAAGGTAATTAAATAGTTTTTATAAAGTATTATTTATGGAATGCATGTGTTTTGACATGTACACGAAACTGAATGTACCTTTACCATCCATCCATAAATAAAGTCAGTTAATTTTAGTACGTCCTTCACCTTTGTATTATATCAGCATATCGCCCTTGTTTTGGAAGGTGGCTAGAAGAATTATATCTCAATTACAGTCCTAATTGGTTGACATACTATCCCCAAGTAAGAGACACTTCTGATTATACTAATGATTTCCCACATTTCGATTTAAAGCTTTCGTGACTGCAAGGATTCATCTTCTTTGGTTCTTTCGGTAAAGTCACGTAGAATGAGAATAAAACAATAAAATAACACAATAAAATTCTCACGACGTTTCGGCCACAACGCCAGCGGCCTTTCACCTGAAGACGGCCGCTTGCGTTGTGGCCGAAACGTCGTGAGAATTTTATTGTGTTATTTTATTGTTTTATTCTCATTCTACGTGGCTTTACCGAAAGAACCAAAGAAGATTTCCCACATGTTTAAAGTCTCTGAATTATGCGCCAGAACTCAAGGAACTACCTTGTAAAGCATGTGATATACAAATAGAGCAGAGCTCCTAATGCTGATTGCACCATTGTGCAATTCTACGGATCCCATGATTTCACGGCAAAGAGGAAAAGAGCAGAAGTAATTATGAACACGAGTTAAATTAATCCCAATATCTGCAGTGTCCATGTATAAGGGTAAGCCTGGCAGCAGTCTCAATGAAAGGATGACGCCTTGATATAGGAGGTTGCCACTTGTCGGCAATGCTGCAGACATAGAGGAGTGAAAGGGCACCCAACTTTCAACTCACTCTCAAGCCTTACCCTACAGTACTAACTGAAATCCCTGTCGTGTATTCAAAAATTATCCTATTAAGAAAATGAGCTAAAAAAAGTGTGATGGAGCTAAATCACATGTTGGTGAACTTTCCTTGTAAATATGTCACATTGGGATTCAAAACCAAGAAGAGATATATTTCAAAAATTTACTTTCTGCATGTATAAATTTGACTGAGAATTTTGTTTGCTGAAATTTGCTGTCAAAATATAGTTGTGTGGTTAAGCTTGGATAAGGTAATAGAAATACCATGTTACGTATCAACTTCACTGATGGTACATATTTAATTGCATTGGGAGCAAATCACATTATTTCTTGCCAAATTAACCATTTACAATGCTTTTTTCAACATCATTAATAGAGGAAGATAATATCCGTTTCTGCTTTTTACAAAACAACACGACCAGAAAATTGCAGTCGCTTCGTTTTCCAAGGGCATCTGTGAATAACTGATGCGTATGTTGCCACAACACATACATGGTGAGTTTTGTAATTTAAATGTAAATCCTAATGCTTGTCATATTTTCGAGTTTTATTTTTCCATTAATATTTATTCTCATACAGAAAACTATGAGCGACTGGAAGCAGATAAGAAGAAACAGGTTTTGAAGAAGCACCACTACACGGGGCCAGTGATCCGTTACCACTCGCTTACAATGCCACTCATCACTGAGCTCCCCATCAAGGAGGAGAATGTAGATGTGGAAGGGTATGCTCCCAGCATCACTGCACGCGAACGAACATAACATGAGCAGCAGGCACGGCAATATTGCGTTTCGACGGTGTTCTTTTAAGGAAAGCCTAAAATCTTGGTGGACAGCTTCTTACATTTTTTTTATCGCACGTACATAGTAATAATAAACACGATTTATAATGCACACATTTCACAAATCGGATGCTTTGTTTGATCGAGAACGTGGTGCAGCTCCGTTGTCAATACACTGCTGGATGAGGGCTTCCTCGTCTCTTACGGGTAGTTGTGGTTATTTGACAGCAATGGATTTTTCAGCACTGCCTTCTGCTGCTGTCCACAGTGCTGCAAATATATTAAATAAAATACCATTTTTTAAGACGTTTAAATAATTATACATATAGTTATTGGATAAATAGGTATTTTTTTTTCTATTCAAAACTCTTTTTCTGTCTTTTAAGTAAACTATTATTGCAATCTATCAGAACATCTTCTATACATCCTTATTAAGATAGTAAGGATTTTAAACTCGTCAATAATATATATGACAATAAATGTCAGTTCAATATTGTATTTCTGTGAATAAGCTGACAATTCGCCTTCTAAGTACTCCGAGGTCAAGGCACTGTTCTTGGGGTGATGGTGGGGGGGGTGGCTTTTGCCTTCACTGTGCAGCTCCCTTTGGTAATAATTCACTCGAGAGTCGTTATAGCTATTTCAGTCTGTCTTGAAAAATTAACCTCTTTAAACTGGCCTTTACCCCCTGGTTCTGGCCGTTTACCCTGATGCTGTTTATTTCCTGCTTTCCATACAAGGCACATTGGGATCTACGGATGAAATGCACCTTAAAAATGGAATTTATTATTTCTACGGGGTATTTTATTTTCCTTAAAATATGTACTTTTTTCAAGAATGTAACATCTAAGTTGCACATTAGCCATATTATGGTTTTGACATAGGAATGCTCTATCTGCAACGTGGAGCGTAACATTCAATGTACAGTTTACACAAGAAATGCATGTTTCCATATTAAAAAAGAGTTGCATGTATATTTTTAAAACACTAAACCTTTTGGTGCACTGTTTCAACTAGGTTGGACCAGGAGTCGCAGCCAACAGCGGAATCTGCACAGGTTACAAGCTCCGGAAAATGCTCCCGAAACTTTATCACGTTCACAGATGAAGAGACATTCAATCAAATTTTCGCGAAGCCCAAGGTGCCCCTGCGTGTGCCTGTACGGGAGATTTGTCCTGTCACTCACAAACCAGCACTCTACCGAGATCCCATCACAGACATTCCCTATGCAAACCCGCGCGCGTTTAAGATAATTCGCGAGGCATACCGTACGTATGTGGCAACACACGGGATGCCAGCCTCATCGTCACAGTCTGGAGCAGGCACTACTGCTGCAAGCACTGCCACCTCCAGTCCTGCAACATCAGCCCAGTCGACGGACAGCGGCATACGTGCCAAGAGCAAGCCCAGCAGCAAGCCGTCTGTGTAGACTGCACTTTCAATAAGAAGCCTCATCAGTTGCTGCGACACTCCTCTCGCCCCATCTCCCTGCATATTGTGGGTGACAAATAAGATAGTGGATCTGAGGAAGCAACGATTATGTGTACTATTTGGCCGGTTGCAATCAACTTGCCATCGGTTGGACTTGAAGCCAATTGCTAAATACAAAATGTAAATCGTGTCTGCAAATGGAAATGTGTACGTGTTTCGATAGATTTGCCATTGCCAAATTTGACAAGCCAATCATCCGCATCGCAGTTTGTGTATTCGTGCAAACCTTTGAAAGCATTGTTTTAGCTCTGGGTAAATAATGCAATTTTTTATGGGGTATTTGAATGAAAGCTTCCTTTGTAAATAAACATTTTGGCCACTTGTAGCTTTGCATTTTTTGTATTTTTTTGTTTTGTAAAGAGCATGTTTATATTTTTTTACCCATACATATATAGCATACATACATACACAACCGCCCCTCCATATGCAGTAACTCCTGGTGGTGCTGCGCATTAATCTGAAAACAATTTGGATGTTAAAACATTTAAAATGTAATTTGCTTCGCGGGACGTATTTAGTACATGGCATAAATTTGACAAGCTAAATTATTCCACTAGAGGGCAGTCACTCGACACAGCGATGCAATAAATTGACGACCCCAAATTTCCCATTAAGACTCGATCCTAAGCAAATAAAACATCCCATTGTATGATATTTCTCTGAATCAACAGTGACAGAACAATAAAGAATCTTCCATGATTAAGCATGTACAATATTTTTTGTGAAAATATTGTATGATAGTGATGTGGTCAGTGTGCGGCTCGCAATCTGAAAGTTGCAAGTTTAACTTCCACGTGTCGGTCAACTTATCCCATAATCCCTCCAAGTTAAATAAAAATAAGTGAGTCTCCTGTAGATTGACTCACACCTACAGGAATGTGAAATTTATATCTCAGGCTCATGGCTGTAAACTGAAGATGAACGCCACCGGATGCTCGATTTGCACGGAAAGCCACCGACTTAGATATTTTTGTGATGTGCTCAAGTTGCACCGAGCAACAATATAAACTTTTTTTAGCTACAAGGTAGTTTTTTTTTACTTGGTTGGAGGGCTATGAGTCATGAAGTCAGTGCGTGTTTACAGTGGGCTGAAGAGAGTGGATTGCTTGGAGGTGGTGACATGGTGATGGCGAGTGGGTGAATGGTCAGGGTGTGTAAGCACACTTAGCTTCTCCAGTGACGCGATGGGTGGCAGATTTGTGCCACGTGTTAAAGCAAACAACATTGATTCGACTTAGTGCATGGCTGTGTAGCCTATGGCCTTTTGTTTGGGTTGTGCCTGTCTCGTGCCCATTTTCAGGTTTTCCATGAAGGCAGGCACTGTTTTCAACTTTTTCTAAATGTAACTGGTTTATGGTCACTGCCGATGAAGTATGTTGCACCGTAAGTATGTTGCGCCGTAAGCATGTTGCACCATAAGTATGTTGCACTGTATGTATATTGCACTCTAGGAATGTTGCACCATATGTATGTGCATGTACAGCCCTTGATCGGACCACTGACGGAAGAGGGCATCTCAGTGCCATGCAAGCAACGGGATTATTTGACCATACTTCATGCTGTAGGATGGTGAAATTGAGTATAGGTGCAGGAGCATAGACGTAGAGGACAACGATGGCTTTGTCTGTACTGCCCTTTGCTGCGCACAACGTTGTGTTGGGTAATGTAAACATCAAAAGTTAAGCTATCATGTTGAGTGGACATGAAAAAATCAAATCAGCTCAATATGCAATTTGCCATATGGAGGTGCCATGTTATAATATAGATTATTGCATCGCAGGATCATGAGAGACGGTGACAGCTAGAGGAATGTTATTCAGCCTATGGCCTATGGCTGAATAGCATTCACCCGTATCACCAAATAACACTGAACTGAACTGATCCAGCAGTGGATAATGGTGTGGTTGCCAAATGCCTGAAATCAAAACATTTAAAGGCGCGATTTTGTGGAACAAGCAGATTTGTGAAAATCCAAAAGTCTGGACTGTGAGATGGTGAGGAGATGGCAGCGCAACACAAATGGGTTCATGAGCCTTACCGCGATGATTTTTTGAGTGGTATCCAAGATTACGTGTCGGTTTTCTCAGGGTACTACGATTTCCTCTCGCATGCCAAACACTAAACAAAGTAATTTCTCACAAAACACCCCCAACATCCAGTATACAGCACAACGGAATCGTCTGCGCGAATCCAGTTCTTGGCATTTATATCACGTGCTGACTTTCATTGGAGATGTCCCAAGGAGTATGGGTCAAAAGGAAAAATCGTGGAGAAGTGTCTAGGGGGAACGGTGAGAGGAGTGCCTGACGGATACCCAGGGGTGGATAACGTCAGCCTACACAGGAGGTCCATGTGTGCTGTCATCACCAGAGGAAGTCCCTGTGTCCTAGCATCCTCACACAGGAAGTCCCTGTGTCCTGGCATCCCCACACAGGGAGTCCCTGTGTCCTAGCATCTCCACACAGGAAGTCCCTGTGTCCTAGCATCCTCACACAGGAAGTCCCTGTGTCCTAGCATCTCCACACAGGAAGTCCCTGTGTCCTAGCATCCTCACACAGGAAGTCCCTGTGTCCTAGCATCCCCATACAGGAAGTCCCTGTGTCCTAGCACCCCCACACAGGGAGTCCCTGTGTCCTAGCATCTCCACACAGGAAGTCCCTGTGTCCTAGCATCTCCACACAGGAAGTCCCTGTGTCCTAGCATCTCCACACAGGAAGTCCCTGTGTCCTGGCATCCCCACACAGGAAGTCCCTGTGTCCTAGCATCCCCACACAGGAAGTCCCTGTGTCCTAGCATCTCCACACAGGAAGTCCCTGGTGGCATCTACATCTGCATAACATGAATAAACAGTTGCATGTACGTCTACATGGAGAATATACAACTTTTAGACCAATTCCCCGTGTGTAGTGTACATGGGATACATGTTTGGAATCGACAGTAGTAAAGTTGGACTCACGAACAAATCGATTTACGAACATACCTCTGGAACCTAACTCGTTTGTAAGTAGAGGAATTCCTATACTCTGGATTTGCATTGAGAGACGTGGGGAGGCCTTCTTTCAGAAGTAGATTGATCCAGGCTGCTGATAATGACTTCACATAGCTTCATTTGAGGGAGGGGGTGCATTGTAAATAAATAAAGTATTGCCACATTCTTCAGTACGGGAGGCTCAGACGTATCTAATAACAGCAAGCTGCTTAGCTCAAAAATTTTCATGGGCTTCTAACGTGAGAAAACGTACGTCAAGTGTGTGATGCTGGTTCATTGTGGGAAAAATATAACATGTACACGTGTGTGCATATATATAGACTCCCATTGCAAAGTATGATGTTTATAGGAAATGGTCTTATCCTTGAGAAGACTGACCACTAGTTTAATCATAAAGTAATATTCATGAAATATGATCGGAAGTGGCCAAAGATGTCAAGGTTTTTGACATACACTGTAAATTATTTCCATCTGGCTAAACCACGTTACTGATACATATTTATGGCCTCATCATCCGGTGGGATACTCTTCTGGTTATTTATTATGAAGGATGCCTCATCCGATATGCATGCAACAGAACACAATGAACATTAGTACAATCAATTATGTAAGTTACCTACAAAACCTGGCGAATTCGTTTAAATGCACCGATTCAATCGTTGAGCAAACATAAACCCTTTGCAAGAGGGCTTTCTTCATATACACGGTATAGGCGTCTGCTTGCTCGCTGGCTTCGGGTGGCCTGGAATGAGCTCGCGTATCTGGTCGCGTCTTCGGGTGCAAATCGCTAAAGCAGTGCCTCCTCCTCCTCCTCGGCAATTCTCGTGCGTTTCACATTCCCAGTGGCTGCAGAGGAATTTGCTTCTGTGTTGGAAAAACACTCGCCAGATAGCTGGAGTGCTGGGACCGTGCATTAAATGTCTTGACAAGGGACCCCCGGGGGGGAAACCGCTGCCTCTTCAGCGTTCAAATTAAACAAGTGCAATGCGTCTCCCTACCACCCACCCACCCAGCACCCACCCACCCCCGTCTCTCCGCATGCCACGGCTGCACCTGTCTCTCTGCCTGTGCCTTGTCATACAGCGAGACACCGCACCGCGAAAATGCATTCCCTTCCCCTCGCGGCTCTCCAAAAAAAAAGTCTGCAATCAGGCGCTCTGTCGGGAGACGCACAGGGGGGGGCGGTGTAATACTGTTCCCACAAAAAAAAAAGAATCTAAAAACGCCTCGTCCCTTCAGGAATTCGGAGCAACCGCTGGGGAATTGTTTTTTTTTTTAAAGCATCATTAATTGCAACAAAATTCAAAGGGTTGGTGGATGGTGGTTCGTGGTGGTTGGGCGTAGTGGTGGGTTGGTGGGGTGGGTGGTGGGGTGCATTCCGTGAACATTACGTGCGTGCGTTCCCTGGTGGAGGAGCGGTGGTGCAGCGGTTAGCGCGCTGCGACGCAAATTCCGGCGAGCCGGCTTCGATTCCCGCTCCCGGCCAACACCAGTGACGAATATCTGGGCCTCCCCTCGGTCGACTCGGCCTCAAAATTGAGTACCTGATGCGGTGTGTAAACATCGCCGACTTGGGGAGGCAAAGGCGGATCGGCCGCGGTTGCTGGCCACCAACTCCTCTCTCGTGCCACATTGCCGGCCTTCATAGGTTGGCTACTCGCTCACGGCACTTGCCCCAACAGTCTGTTACAGGCTACACGGGGGATCTTTGTCTTTGTTCCCTCCACCGCGCTTCCAATGGTGCCAACCCCAGGCCCCCGTTACCCCTGACAGCTGCGCTGTAATCACTCGATGTTGTGGGGGGGTTTTTTCCCCTTCATTTTACAGCTGTCTTCACATTTACCGGTTCGTAGACAAGTTTGACTGCTCCACGTTTTAAAATTCAACCACAGGGGGATTCGCCCGAGGAAGCTTTATTTTTTTTATTATTCTTAAACAAAAAGCGGGGAGGGGGGATATTGTCGGTCTTCGTTAAATAAAGCAAACTTTGTGATGGGGAGGGGGGGTAGGGTGAGTTTTTATTCCACGTTCTCTCGTTCAAATGCGGCGCCGTTCTGTAATTGCGTGCACACACACACACACAACAACTCAAAGCAAATGATTCTATTGGAAACGTGTGCAACGTGAAATCGTCATATTAGGCAGGCTTTATATAAAGTTGCAAGGTCTAAGCATCAGGCAATTTAATACATACTGTACGTATAAATACCATCGTCTTGCTGTGAGTCAGTCCGTTGGGAGTCTGTTTTTACGATATGCATACATGAGACATGGATATCCTCTCCAGTATTTATATATATAGTTCATGAAGCACGCTGCAATGAGCGTTTATGTAA